ACCATCTGCAGTAACTTTGGAGCCCAAAAATAAAAGAGTCTGTCACTATTTCCATTGTTTCCCCATCTATTTGACATGAAGTGATGGGACCAGATGCCACGATCTTTGTTTTTTGAACACTGAGTTTTCAGCCAGCTTTTTCACTCTCCTCTTTCACCTTCATCAAGAGACTCTAGTTCCACTTCGCTGTCTGCCATAAGGGTGGTGTCATCTGTATATCTGAGGTTATTGATATTTCTCCCGGCAATCTTGATTCCAGCTTGTGCTTTTGTGCTTCATCCAGCCCAGCATTTCACATGATGTACTCTGCACAGAAGTTAAATAAGCAGGGTAACAATATACAGCCCTGATGTACTCCTTTCCCAATTTGGAACTAGTCCATGGTTCTATGTTTGGTTCTAACTGTTGCTTCTTGATTTGCATATAGGTTTCTCAGAAGGCAGGTAAGGTGGTCTGGTATTCCCATCTCTTGAAGTGTTTTCCATAGTTTATTGTGATCCACACAGTCAAAGGCTTTATTGTAGTCAATGAAGTAGATGCTTTTCTGGAATTCTCTTGCTTTTTCAATGATCCAATGGATGTTGGCAATATGATTTCTGGTTCCTCTGCCTTTTCTAAATCTAGCTCGAACATCTGGAGTCCTCAGTTCACATACTGTTGAAGCCTAGCTTGAAGAATTTTGAACCTTACTTTGCTAGCATGTGAAATGAGTGGTGCAATTGTGTGGTAGTATGAACATTCTTTGGCACTGCCTTTCTTTTGCAATGGAATGAAAACTGACCTTTTCCAGTCCTGTGGCCACTGCTGAGTTTTCCAAATTTGCTGGCCTATTGAGTACAGCACTTTAACAGCATCATCTTTTAGGATCTGAAATAGCTCAGCTGGAATTCCATCACCTCCACTAGCTTTGTTCATAGTGATGCTTCTTAAGGCCCACTTGACTTTGCACTCAAGGATGACTGGACTTCACACTCTGGCTCCAGGTGACTGATGACACCATCATGGTTATATGGGTCATTATGACAACAACCATCCAGAATGAAATTACTATACCTCTAACTCTTTTCTATGCTTTGCTTTTGTGAAGGTGGAAATTCATTTTGATATTTGGTATTTTTTTAGAACAGAAACTAAATTCAAGTTTGACTGTCTTTTATCACAAATACAGTCACCAATGTATCTGAAAAATAGTTAAAAGAATGACAAAGGAAGCTAAATAATTTAACAATAATGAATATGGCAATGCAAACTGTTAGCATGGTTCTGTTTAATTATTTGTGACATTTCAAATTTCAAATAATACCATCAATATAAAATTTTTAAGAAAATGACAATAATGAAATATGTTTCTTTTCAAACAAAAATTACTGGTTTGTCTACTAAATATTATGATTTAGAAATGGTTAGAGCTACTTATCATTTGAATGAGAATTTAGCATAAATTACAAGACAACTGATGGAGAGTTTCAGACAGCCTGGAAAAGCTTTATTATTAGGGAAAAAAAAAAAAAAAAAACAAGCAAAACTGGATGTCCTTCACCTTAGGATGACTGATTTGAAATGTCTTGACAAGGATGCTCTATATTTTTTCTTGCGTTCTATCTTCCTTATATTCTTTAGTGCTCACTTATTTAAGTACTTGTCTGTATGTAAATCAGTGATATTTTTATCACACATCTAAATAAATGAGATTGAAAGATTTAGTAAATAGCTATTCTCTCAGAAAAGGTATTATAAATGAAAAGCTGCTATCCTTCAGTCTTCTCTTTAAAATCAAAGCAGTATCATAAATTTCTTTAAAGTTTCCTTTTATAAAAAACACTTTAGTACATTCTAGCTCTTTTTTTTCAAGATTCTTCCTCTAATATAAATATTGCTTATACTCTTCACATACCACTTAGCACATGTTATCTAACTTTAACAAAATTTGTATGTATCCATCTCACTTCCGTCAAGCACACAGGCTTCACTCCCATGAATGCTGCATATCTGTCTGTCTACAATCCAGCACAAAGTTGGCACATCCTGAATATCTGCTTTAACTGATGAAAAACAACCTAGAGTGGCAGTGTGTGTGAAACTCGTGCAGTCGTGTCCAGCTCTTTGTGACCCGATGGACTTCTTCAGGCCACAATACTGGAGTGGGTAGCCATCCCCTTCTCCAGGGGATCTTCCCTACCTAGAGATCGAAGCCAGGTCTCCCACAGTGCAGGAGGATTCTTTACCAGCTGAGCCAGCAGGGAAGCCCACAAGGGGTAGAAACATCATCAGTTGGAATTGAGGAAACAAGTTTTACCCTTGGCCTATGGACTGCAAACAAGTCTCTTTACTACCTCAGGGTTTCAAACTAAACAGTCGCTAGGTCTCCTACAGCTCTGAGAAGTAAGGTTCCTCAGGAGTCAGAGAAAAACCCAGGGCTTTTTAAAATCTATTTCTTCTCTTAGAAATATTATTTCCAATCATCTTACAATTGGGATCATCAATTTGTACATTTATAACAACCTTTGTGACTTCCTCCTCCAGCTACCCATTTGGCAAATTATTCTACCCACTGCTCAAGAGCATCGCCCCACCACCAGCAAGGAGCAAAAATAAACCTTAAATAAGACTAACAACAATTTTCAACAGAACTGAATGTCTGATTCTACTGGTCATCAGGAAAGCAGGTACTAATTCTTAAGAAGGAGAATAGCATTTTATTTTGCTCAGTATCTTGTCTATTCTAGTACGTCAAAGCTGTATATTGTCACCCTGCTTATTTAACTTATATGCAGAGTACATCATGAGAAACGCCAGGCTGGAAGAAGCACAAGCTGGAATCAAGGTTGTCGGAAGAAATATCAATAACCTCAGATACGCGGATGACACCACCCTTATGGCAGAAAGTGAAGAACAACTAGAGAGTCTCTTAATGAAAGTGAAAGAGGAGAGTGAAAAAGTTGGCTTAAAGCTCAACATTCAGAAAACTAAGATCAAGGCATCCGGTCCCATCATTTCATGGCAAATAGACGGGGAAATAGTGGGAACAGTGGCCGACTTTATTTTGGGGGGCTCCAAAATCACTGCAGATGGTGACTGCAGCCATTTAATTTAAAGACGCTTACTCCTTGGAAGGAAAGTTATGACCAACCTAGACAGCATATTAAAAAGCAGAGACATTACTTTGTCAACAAAGGTCCGTCTAGCCAAGGCTATGGTTTTTCCAGTAGTCATGTGTGGATGTGAGAGTTGGACTATAAAGAAAGCTGAGCACAGAAGAATTGATGCTTTTGAACTGCGGTGCTGGAGAAGACTCTTGAGAGTCCCTTGGACTACAAGGAGATCCAACCAGTCCATCCTAAGAGAGATCAGTCTTGGGAGTTCATTGGAAGGACTGATGTTGAAGCTGAAACTCCAATACTTTGGCCACCTGATACGAAGAGCTGACTTATTTGAAAAGACCGTGATGCTGGGAAAGATTGAAGGCAGGAGGAGAAGGGGATGACAGAGGATGAGATGGTTGGATGGCATCACCATCTCAATGGAGAAAAGTTTGGGTAAACTCTGGGAGTTGGTGGGACAGGGAGGCCTGGCGTGCTGTGGTTCACAGGGTCGCAAAGAGTCAGACATGACTGAGCAACTGAACTGACTGAAGAGTTACTTTATATAAACCACATTTGCTAAATATAAATGTAGCCTTTCTAAATATACATTGTAGTTGGGACTTCCCAGGTGGTCCAGTGATTAGGAGTCTGAATTGCAACTCAGGGAATGCCAGTTCAATCCCTGGTGGGGGAAATAAGATCCCACATGCCATGTAACACAACTAGAGAGTCTATGCACCACAGAAAAAGGATTCCACATAACACAGTGAAGATCCTGCATCGTCACAGCTAAGACCTGCCACAGCCAGATAATAACAATATTAAAATAATAAAGCATTAATATAATGTAACATTTTGGTTACCTACTGTCTAGGAAGTAAGTTCTTCCAAATGTGTTATCAAAAACAAACAAAACATGGCTATGTGTTGTGTATTTTTTAACATACTGAACCTAGAGACTGAGTTCTAGAAGAGTTTAAATAGTCAGAATAGCTTAAAATGCCTTAAATTACCTAGATGCCTTAAAGTACTTAAATATCCATAAAGAGATTTTGTTTAAATGCCAGAAAGCATTGAAAATGTATTTTTGTGTATGTAACCCTGGATAGTCAAAAGGAAAAAATTAACACATACAGTCATTTGTAATGTATAATAAAAGTACATATAAAACTATTTGAGTGCTTAAGTAAATGAAAAACAAATAGATAAGGGTTATATACATGAATGTACCTTAAAAATGTTTATGATTTAATTCCACTAAGTATTAAATTTGCAATTAAATGGAATTAGGTCTATATAAGAAATGGAAGTAACCCAGATGTTCATCAACAGATAAATGGATAAACAAACTGTGGTACATAAAAACAAAAGAATATCAGTCATCCATAAAAAGGAACAAATTTGAACCAGTTGTAGTGATGTGGATGAGCCTAAAGTCTGTTACACAGAATTAATTAAGTCAGAAAGAGAAAACCAAACATGGCATAATAATTTGCACTGTATGTAGAATCTAGAACGGCACAGATGAACCTATTTGCAGGGAAGGAATGGAGACAACGGATGTAGAGAATGGACTTGTGGACACACTGGGGGAAAGAGAGGGTGGGACAGATAGAGAAAGTAGCATCAACATATATACACCATCATGAGTCAAATAAATAGCTTGCGGGAGGCTGCAAGATAAGATAGGGAGCTCAGCCTGGTGCTCTGTGATGACCTGGAGGGGTGGGGTGATGGGAGGGGAGGGAGCCTAAAGACGGAGGGGACACATGTACAATTATGGCTGATTCATGTAGTTGTACAGCACTATAAAGCAATTTTCCTCCAATTAAAAATTTTTTTAAAGTATTAAGAAACACTATATTATCTGATGACAGAGCAACAATTTTGAATCCAATATCAAAAAGAAACTTTTACCTTTCTGGGCTTTCATTGTCTGTTCTTCAATTTGTCTCAGACGTTCCATTAGCTCTTCCTTTTCACGTTCTATTCTTTCCTTTTCCTTTTCTGCTATTTCTCTTTTCTTCTTTTCATTCTCTAATTGAGCCCTTAAAAGGAATTACATTGTGTTGTTACAAATTAATATATGAAAATATATACATGAAACCTAAGTGGTAACTGAATCAACTAAGAAGAAATGACAGCATATCAATATTTTAAGTATCCTTAAATTTAGATGTATTAAAAAACCATATAGTTAAGAATATAGAACTACAACCCACTGTCACATATACACACACTGGATTAAAATATATCTTTTATTGTGAGGTCACAAAAACTAATGTCAGCGACCGTTTAAAATGAACTGGACAATAAATTATATGTGAGCACAAAACCAGTTAAATGCACAGTTGCCATACCCAAGAACATGCCTTCTTTAGATTAGCAAGAACCACCCACTGGCAGAAACAGCAAAGGTATGAAGGGAGTGCACAAGACTGTTTCACTTTAAACAGCAAATTAACATGGAAGGGCAAAAAATTTCAATCATGAACAATTAATACAAGTTTAATTTCTAAGGTAGTATCAACTTAAACTTGGGTACAAGAGGACAACTCAGTTTTATCTCCTTTGACAAATCTCTTAAAATGATAATATGCATCTAATGCTATCTAAAAGGATCCTCCTGAGAGTTTGGTGGGAATGGGTGCTTTTTTCATTTAGATGCATCTGCCATGGGCCTAAATACAGCCAAATTCATTTATCAAAAATCTACCAAGGGCTTACTGTGGATAAGACTCTATGGTGAGGGCCAGAAATACAATGATGAATAAGATTTAATTATCAGATATTGTCTACTTTGATGGGAATAATTTTCTTTTTAGTTAAAAAAACATCAATTATGCTTTCATCTAAAAATACCTAAATATTTATAAAAGACATAGCTGCCATTTGATGTCAATTCTGAATTTCAAGCCCAAACCATGTAGTTTCTCAACTTGCAATCTCTGATAAGCTTATCAGCAAAGTTTTATTACCTATTTCTTCCTGCAGCTCCTAGTACCTATCTGCTTTCAATATGAAGAGAGACTCCAGCTCTGGGGCAAACAGGGAGAGTTATAATAAATCAGCAAGAAAAGTAGGCCTGTGCATTAAGTTTAAGGGTGGCCATATCTTCCCAACTGGTTTTAATTGATCCTCACAGCGTTTAATAATCTACGGCCTACGGTTCATTCATGAGAGGGGAACTCCCCCTTGTTCTAGACTTCCCTGTTACAAGGTACTTTCTCAACAGCTCGAAGAAAGACTGAATAACTTAGTGGCCCTCTTCCCCCAAGACTTGGACTCACTTTTAGCACATTCACCTTTCATCCTATCTCAATCAACAGAGTATATACAGGTAAACAGCCCACACTGCTCTGGGAGTCAGGGGTTACACAGGTTTAGGAAAGTTTAAGCATCCCAATTTCCTTGAGAAAAACAAGGGCATAGGGGCCCAACAGATACTGCTGCCCTTCCTGTATTTTTTAGAAAGCTGAAAAAGCAGGCTTGTCTGTGATGTCAAGAGCTACTTTTTTTTTTCCCCACTCTATTTTTTTTCCATTTATTTTTATTAGTTGGAGGCTAATTACTTTACAATATTGTAGTGGTTTTCGTCATACATTAACATGAATCAGCCATGGATTTACACGTATTCCCCATCCCGATCCCCCCTCCCACCTCCCTCTCAACCCGATCCCTCTGGGTCTTCCCAGTGCACCAGCCCCGAACACTTGTCTCATGCACCCAACCTGGGCTGGTGATCTGTTTCACCCTTGATAGTATACTTGTTTTAATGCTGTTGTCTCGAAACATCCCACCCTCGCCTTCTCCCACAGAGTCCAAAAGTCTGTTTTTTACATCTGTGTCTCTTTTTCTGATTTGCATATAGGGTTATTGTTACCATCTTTCTAAATTCCATATATATGCGTTAGCTACTTTTTCCATGCCAGGCTGCCTGCTACTCTAAGATGTTGAATAGGCTGCCCACATCACTCCTCAGTCCCTGCTGAGTCAAATCCAGTGCTGCCAGAGTCTCCAAGACAGTTAGCTCCCGCCCTGAGACACTGAGGCCCTGAGACATTTCACGAATATTTACATCTCACCAGATCTCAAGACCAAAGGCTACAATAATATTCTACAAACTCAGAACCTTTTCAGTCCTGCTCTGGCACATAGATGGCCCCTTCTGGAGGTAGGCACTGGTGCTGTTTACCTTTTCCCTATTGATATTTCATTTGTTCTTCCTCAAGGATAGAGGTAAAGGAGACATGGAAGCTAGAAAAAAAGACTGAAGATAGCAACAAGCAAGTTGGGGGGAGGAATTTTAGTCTTTATGCTGAAAAATGAAATAAATGTATAGCCAATATTTAACTTGATTATGATATTTAAAGTGTTTTGTAAAGTTTACTATGCTGCACTCTTACAAGGCTTGTATTTCTCATCTCACAAGAATTCTCACCTGCCTACAGCCATCACCAACTAATACCCCGTTCAATTAATACGAATGACTCTGGCTCTCCACATTTCGTAGTGATACCCAGTTTCTTTTTGTAGGGAAAAACACTAGGCCATTCAGGTATGACCTAAACAAATCCCTTATGATTACACAGTGCAAGTGACAAACAGATTCAAGGGATTAGATCTGAGAGACAGAATGCCTGAAGAACCATAGATAGAGGTTCGTAACATTGTATAGGAGGTGCTCATCAAAACCATCTGCAAGAAAAAGAAATACAAAAGGCAAAATGGTTGTCTGAGGCGGCCTTACAAGTACCTGAGAAAAGAAGAGAAGTGAAAGGCAAAGGAGAAAAGGAAAGAGATACCCATCTGAATGCAGAGTTCCAAAAAATATCAAGGAGAGATAAGAGAGACTTGCTAAGTAATCAATGCAAAGAAACAGAAGAAAACAATAGAATGAGAAAAACTAGAGAGATCTTTTCAAGAAAATTAGATATATCAAGGGAACATTTCGTGCAAAGATGGGCACAATAAAGGACAGAAACAGTGTGAACCTAACCGAAGCAGAAGATATTAAGAAGAGGTGGCAAGAATACACAGAAGAACTGTACAAAAAAGATCTTCACAACCCAGATAACTACGACAGAGTTATCATTCACCTAGAGCCAGAATTCCCCTGGAGTCAAGTGGGCCTTAGGAAGCATCAATATGAGCAAAGCTAGTGGAGGTGATAGAATTCCAGTTGAGCCTTTTCAAATCCTAAAAAATAATGCTGTTAAAGTGCTGCACTAAGTATGCCAGCAAATTTGGAAAACTCAGCAGTCACAGGACTGAAAAAGGTCAGTCTTCATTCCAATCCAAAAGAAAGGCAGTGTCAAAGAATGTTCAAACTATGACACAATTGCACTCATTTCACACACTAGCAAAGTAATGCTCAAAATTCTTCAAGCTAGGCTTCAACACTATGTGAACTGAGAACTTTCAGATGTTGAAGCTGGATTTAGAAAAGGCAGAGGAACCAGATATCAAATTCCCAACATTAGTTGGATCATAGAAAAAGCAAGAGAATTCCAGAAAAACATCTATTTACACTTCACTGATTACACTAAAGCCTTTGATTGTGTGGATCACAACAAACTGTGGAAAATTCTTAGAGACAGAAATACCAGACCACCTCACCTGCCTCCTGAGAAACCTGTATGCAGGTCAAGATTCCTTACCACTGAGCCACCTGAGAAGCTCCATATTAGAATTTATTGCTTTTTAAAGAGTATCAGATGGCACCAATTACATTTTTCTTAAAATGAAGACTAAAAAGCAACATATATTCAACTTCTATTCAAACTATGTACCAATAATATTAAAAATTCTTTATTGCTACTATTTAATTAGGTATTAGGTACTCTGCTAAATGTTTCTATACTGACATTATTATTTCTCACAAAAACTCTTGAAAGGACTATTATTTTCACAGTAAGGATAAGAGAATAGTGGGTAATAAGTTACTTGTTCAACAAGTACTAGAACTCAAACCCAGATTTATCTAATTCCAAAGCCTGTATTCTTTGGTATGACATCAGCTCAGTCCCGGTCATACAGGCAGTCAGCTGTGACACAGACTATCCCATAGCTAACCTACAAGTGGTATGTAGGTATCTGACTCTAAATTGTAAACTCAATTTGATTTGGATGCAAGTAACTTAAGAACACAGACTACAAGGACCAATAACCCACGGAAAAGAACATCATTTTCACTATTAAAGAAGTTATGAGAGTTATGCAGGAGGATATAGCTACATATGCCAAAGTATTGCAGGGAAAGAGGCCTCCTGCTGCCTCTTCCCAACTACTGTTCTGCCCAAGAGACTCCAGCAGCACACCTCGGGGCACTCCCCAAGCATGTCTGCTGGCTCCTCTGTCATTGGGGTTGACCAGAATTGTTTCCACATACACAGCTGTCACTTCTCTCTCCCTGACCTATAAAGCAGGGAATAAACCAAGACTCGGCATGCCACTTCTGAAAGACCATCAATCCCCATGTGGCTGGACTAACATAAAACAACCTTCAGGTGTTCAAATGAAATAAAGAGTCAATGAATTCCTACTGTATAGAAAGCAGGCAATACATACTCACTAATGAAAGGTTGCAGCCTTTCATGGAATTCAACAAGGAATCACGGGGTTGTTAACTGTGTTAGAAGATCCAGCATCACCCAACGGCCAGCAGCACCTCAGTGCAGGACACGTCACCCAAACAACGAACAAGACAAAATCATAAACCCATGCAGGACACCTCACCCAAACAACAAACAAGACTAAACCATAAACCCAACCAATCAGCAGACAGGATTACCAGACACCCCAAAATATACCACCTCACACAGCCAAGCCCATCAGAAGGAAAAAAACCCTCACCTCCTTTCACCAGAACACAAAGCCTACACAAACCACTGGACAAATCTTACCCACTGAGGGCAGAAATCAAAAGGGAGAAGGAATACAACCTGAAAGCCTGGGAAAAGGCGGCCTCAAACACAGTAAGTTAGAATTAAAATGAAGACAGAGAAATACTGCACAAATGAAGGAACAAGACAGAAACTCACAAGAC